AATGTTTCTGCAATTAGATCGATGGGCAAATTTATTTCGAGGGGCCGCGCAGGAGCAAGCCGAGTTGACCAGACCGATGACGATGACATGAGTGTGATTAGTGAAGTCGATCCCGCACCGAAAAATGGTTGTATTGAGAGCGTCATGAGTTAGGTGGTTGTTGATCAATCGGAGACCTGCTCCGTAGCAGGAAGTGGCTCAATCGAAGACCCATCATTAGGAAGTGGGGCAAGTTGCGCTAAAACGGGATCTTGCAAAAGTATATGCAGTGACGTATGCTCAAGCGGAAAGACGGAGGTATCTTCCGTATCTGATGTAATTGAAGCTCTTGCGAACTTGCGAAGCCGTTTCAAGTGTGGTTTCATTTGCTGAGTGTCCGAATCGCGATGATGGTAGCGCGAGCAGCCTATCAGACACACGTTCTATGAATAGTGACTGCAGTCGCCTGAGATTGCATTATATACCTCAGGAATGCGCCCGTCGAACTAGCCACGCCAGAGATCGCGCGCGCGATAGCGCGCGCAAAAAAAATATTAATTTCACATTTCGCGAAATTTCATGAAATTTCATGAAATTTCGTGAAATATTTCGACATGAAATTTCACGAGTCAGATTTCACTGAGATGCATAACCCTGCTCTCAGGTTTTTGGCGTCAAGTAGAGTCGTTGGTGGTCCGGCGTGGTTGGCAAATCGGCGGTCCTGAGCATTATTTTCTTCTCACTAATCTAGTTCCGGAGTACACGCTCGAGGAGGCCGTGGGACGTAAGAATCCTGTGACTCTGGTCGACTTTTCGACGTCCGTTGCTGATATCCGCTCCGCTCTAGCGGAAGAGTGCGGTGGCCACTTCGAGGTCGAGAAGCTCTTATCAGAACCCACTGCCCGCTCGAACCAGGAGACCCTGACATCCTACATCGGGCGTCTGGATGAGTGGGCCAGACGCTGTGCTTTAGCCGGCGCTCCCCTCGGTGACGGCCATGTTATCAGGGCGTTCCGTGAGGGAGTAAACGATGAGGTCTGTAAAGAGGCCTCCTACGAATACTCTGGCCTCTGGTCACAATTCAGGTCTAAAGCCCTAACACGCGCGGCCCGCGCGGATGCTGACCGCTTGGCTAAGTCTGGTGGTCGGTCTTCCATCGCATCGTCCTCCAGCAGGGGGGCACCTCCTCCAGGCCGTTCGACTACCTCGCCGTCGTCCAAGGTGGAACGGTGCCGTAACGCTCTCCGCGGGCGTTGTCAGCGAGGAGACAAGTGCATTTATCGGCACCTCGGGCCCAACGAATGCCGGCAGTGGGCTGCCGAGGGCAGGTGCCGTTTCGGTAAAGACTGCAAGTACCGGCACGGTATCGCGGACGAGAAAAAGGCACACGGTGGAGGGCCACCATCCCGGCAAACGCCATCTTCTAACAAGAACCTAAGGGCCATTTCCGAATCCGATGCGAGCGGACGACCCGGCGAGGCTGCCGGCCAGAGCTGTCCCGATTCTCCGGAGGAGGACCTCCAGATGCTGTGGGCTGTTCAAGACACTGCGAGTGAGGCGCCTGGAAAGCAGGCGGGGCCCACGCTCACCCTTTACCCCTCTGGGGGGCAGTCTCCTTTCACGGCTCTTCTGGATTCGGGTGCTGTTCGGAATTACGTCGGTCACGAGATGGCTGCTGCAAGGGGCTGGAAGATCAGCCCATGCTCGACCTCTGCCAAGCTCGCTAACGGCGCAATCGTCAAGCTCAGTGGCACTACCGAGGTCACAGTGCACCGTGATGGTCGAGACTATGAGCTACAATTCTTTGTTCTCCCTGGAAGCGGTGCTTCCACGGGCGTGGACGCCTCCACGTGCATCCTTGGTGTCCGGTCTATGTGCGCATTGAAGGTCTCTCTGTGTTTCGACGAGGTATCGGGTTCGCGCCAGGTCATCGTTCGTACCCCTGTGAAACCCTCGGGTTATTCTTCGTCCCCCGATCTCGCCCAGGATGGCTGTCTGAAGTACGTGGCGCTCGCAGAAGAAGACCTTCCCATCACCGTGGTTGAGGAGCGCGAGCACGTAGTTTACCGCTGCGAACGAGGCATTGATGAGCTCCTGGCTGTGGGTGGACCCGCTCAGGAGAGCGCGTGCGCCGGACGCACGGCGAAGTTGGGGGAGCAATGGCGTCAGGTCAAGGCTGCCCCGGAATATTCGATCCGTCTGCGACCCCTCGCTGAAGGCGAGGCCAAGGATTGCCCTGATCAAAGTCATACTGTCGAGGTCCGATGGTCCTCGTCGCCGCTGGTGCGGCAAGGGCCCGTACATGACTACTCTCGAAGCCTTTTCGCACGTCTGAGTCTCTCTCAACAAGAATCCTATCTGGAGGAACTCGAACGCTTCCAGGAACGCGGTTGGTGGGAACCCCTCTCTATCGAGGAAACCAACGAACAGTCCTGCCTGCCCGAAGCTATCGCCTTTCCGGTGGTACAAGGCCAAAAGGTTCGGCCTTGTGTCGACCTACGACGTGGTAACGCAACGTCTCCACCGAGCTCGTATCCAGGGGACTCATGCGCAACAATCCTCGCGCAGGTGCGTGTCGCTCTCGCTGCTATTTCGCTCCGAGCGCGCGCGGAGCAGCTACCTTCCCTCCGTCGCCTCAGTTTTTACACTCTCGACGCGGCCACCGCTTTCTATCGGGTGAGACTGTACGATCATACGGCGGTCATAAGGTCTCTCGGCCGCCGCTTCGCCGCACGCCGGCTGGTCTTCGGCCTACGCTGCGGCCCGGCCGTTCTCCGCGAAGCCCTTTCTTGCCTGATTGAAGCCGCGTTGTCAGCGTGCGGGTCCTGTGAAGGTGACCTTCCACTGTTGCATTGGGAGTACGTGGATGATATCTGCCTCCTGGGTGACTCTGTGGCAGTCCGCAACCTTCGAGAGCAGATCATTCGTCTGGGAGGACAGTGGGGTTTCGAGTTTCCTGCCAAGAAATCTCACTCGTTAGACTTCTCGGCTACGGGCGAGGTCGAGGAGTTCGTTGACTTCAAACACCTTGGGGTTTGCTTCATTTTCTCTCCGGGATCCCAGCCAGGCCAGGGATCACTGGTGCTGCGTTGCATCACTTCCTCCGACCCAGAGGTAACGGTCTTCAAAGAGAACCAAAAGGTCACCAAAAGGACTCTCTTTCGCGCCGCCGGTGCGGCCTATGATCCGCTGACTCTCCACGCCGACCGGTGTCTCGCTGCCGATTATGTAAGACGCATCTCCGGTCGATGGAAAGCTGGGTGGGACCAGGAGGTCTCGCTAAATGCTGATGAAGCGAAGACTCTTACCGCCTGTTTCCGTGTTCTGGGTGCTCGATCTGGTCCCTGTGATCATGAGACTTCTTTCGCCGCGACAATTCTGGAGGTCTCATGCGACTCGAGCCCCTTCGGCATGGGGTTCGTCGTCTATCTGGTACATGATGAGCTACACCGCACTCCTCTGGCACGAAGGGCGAGGTGCTTCCGAGGCTCCATGCTCAACTGGCACCAGAACCGGAAGGAGTCGTTCGGTCTGGCGGCGGCCCATATCTTTGTTGATAGCCTGGCTCCCTATCTCAGTGGCATCACACTCCGCTTCCTCTCCGACTCTCGGACAGCCCTCTCCTGGCTCCGCGGTGGAGCCCGACTGACTTGCAAGTCCATCGAGCGCATTGCCATAGCCCGTCTTTGTGATGCGATTGCGGACGTCCGTGAGGTTTGGAGAAGGAAATACCATGTCGTACCAGACTTGCTGCATGTGGCAGCATCTCAGAACGCCGAGGCGGATGGACTCAGTCGGTTGGCGTTTTCTTGGGGCATCCCTGAAAGCATCATATTCGAAGGGCGAGGTATGGCCGGGGCTCGCCCGGCATTCGACCTGGCAGAGGACGCCACTGATCAAGAGCGCGGAAAGCTACTAGGCTCCGCATCAGCACCATCATCAAGCACCTTAGGTGAATCTACTGTCCTTGATCATCTAAGGATTATCTCTTCGACGGGGGACGCCTCACAGGTTCCTCCCGACTTTCAACTCGGGCATGGTTCTCCGCCAAGAGGGAGATTACATTCTTTGCAATGGCTTTCCCCGACATCTGCCTCCGTTCTCAGGTTGCTGGGTGCAACCCCTCCTGATGGACTCGGGGCGTGTCCTTCATCACTTCTCCCACACGGCCTTTCTCCGGAGCTCTCATCCTTTTCCCTGGCCGATGACGGCCTCCTCATGAAAGAGGTGAAGACCTCTAAGGTCAACGGTGTTGCTTCAACTCGCATTTGCTATTACGTCCCGACGGACATCTCCGAGGGGAGGCACTACGCGCATTCTCTGGTCGAGGCCTATCATAAGGAATCTGGCTGTCTGAACAGCCGTTATGTCCGTTGGATGATATCGAGGTGTTTCTACATCCATAAGCTTCGCACTTATGTAGAGTCTGTCTGTCGCGCATGTGAAGGCTGTCAGCTGGGCTCCAATCGTCGTTACTTCTCGACCGTGGATTCTGCCCGCTCTTTGCGCACTGGCGCGCGAGAGTGCTGGCACACCGTTTCCGCAGACCTCGCGGAGATGGGTTGGGACAAGAAGCGCCGCTACTCTGCGGTTCTTCTGATGACTTGCCACTACAGTGGTTATTGTACTGCATCCCCTTTGAAGGATCAAAGAAGCCTCACGGTGGCCGGCGAAATGTCTCGCCTGTTTGATCTTCTGGGGTATCCCGTTCGCCTCCGGACGGACGGAGGGCCATGTTTCAAGGGTCGGCCTCTGGCTGAGATATTATCGTCCCGCTCGGTGACTCATCAAATCTTACCTCCATATGCTGCCTTTTCGAATGGTCTGGCCGAAAGGGCGATTGCCAGCCTCAAATTTCTGGCCCGTCAGCTCGATGATAAGAGAAGTTGGCCATCTACGCTAAGCAGAGTGCTGCATCGTCTCAATGGTAAACCTTTTCTCGACACTGGTCTGTCTCCTTTCGAGATTTTCTACGGTCGTCCTCTCCGCCTCAGCCCGGAGAATGCTCTGGAGGAGGGCGATTTGGATGCCAGTGGTCACACTGTTCAGTCTCGCCAGGCTGTGCGTGATGAGATTGACCGCTTAGTTCAGACTGCATTAGAGGCCAGGCAGCAGCGCCTTGATGATACTCGTGGGTTACGTCGCCGTGGTCCTCCTCCGGTCGGTACTGAGGTCATTGTTTTTAACCCTGACACTCTGGGACGCGGAGGGAAATACGATCGGACGATCTACCGCGTCCTTGAGATTATTCGTGGCGTTGTCCTGAAGCTGGTAGATGCCAAGGTGCCAGAAGACCAAGTTATCCCCAGCATGATTAAGGAAACTCACTACGCCAATGTTCGCCCTTACTATCGTCCATCCGGGGGGCATGTGGTTTGATGGATGATCGATAGTGGGCCTCACGCACAGGTTGTGTGCGCCACAGGTGCCTGCGTGCAATCATGTGCACGCGTGTTTTTGCTCGGGCCGAGCAATGGCCAGTCCTTTATTCGTACAACCCAAGTCTGAGTCGTAGTAGACCCCATCTCCATCAGATTTATGTCTTAGTAGTAAGTTATTGACCTTGAGACTTAATGGCATCTTCACTGAGTCGTGTTCATGAGGCGGAGCCCGGTCAAACTCTCACACTGAAGACTCTCAGATTGTCGACGGCGTAAAACATCTACTGTGTGGCGAAGAGATCGACTATTTGGAGAGCCTCTACGCCGATGAACGCGCAGAGGCACAGTCCCGATTTGCAGAGTACTTGCGGTTCTGGAAGACCGCACATGAAGTACAGCAGCAAATGCTTCAGAGACGGATCTCGAGGAGAGGCCAGATCGAGCCGCTATCGGTCGGTGAGTCGGTCTTGGTGTATTGTCCCTCCTCCAGTACGGCGTCGGGAAAACATATTGCTGATTTCGTCGGCCCTTATGAGATCATTGAAGTGGTGTCGGACAGCCTCCGCCGACTGGACGTTATCAACAAGGGAGGTCACAGTGTCCGAGATATCTCTGCTGTTCAGCACGTTAACAATCTGGTTCCGTACTTCCGCCGAGAAGAAGGAGCGGTTGACTCGTGGTTACAGTGTGACCGGTGTGACGAATGGATCAAGGTCGATGAAGTGACGATGAAGAGGTTTGCTGCTCCGTCTGCCAGATTCTTCTGCCGGCTGGCTGGGCGGGAGTGTCGCAGGGCGAGCGACGATTGAGCGGAGCGCAGCCATCTAGACTTAATATGCGAGATGATCACTTGTATATAATTATTAATTAACATCGTATATCGTTGAGCTCCAATCGATAATATGTCTGTGATGATTAGTGATTTGTTATATCACTTTGCCTTTCATGACCTCGGATGGTGGCGATGATCCGTCCAAGAAGCCTGTAGATCCTACTATTCAGAAGCAGTCTGTTGAGTTAACTCCCGAGGAGTTGGTGCTCTTGAAGAAGATCCGCGCAATGGAGTTGGCGGACCGTGAGCCAACCGACATCAAGGATCCGAAGCGAGCAGGCTATCCGCTAGGGCGTGAAATGGCACACTTCCATGATGCATCTGAGCTATACGACGCTCACAACATTCAGGATGAATTCGGCGAGTAGCGATGATACGGATGTTATCGTACGTTCCGAGTTGACCTGTTTAAACGAATGTATGCTTGTGAGCAATCTCGCTGAGCTTGTATTTATCAACTCCTAACTCCTCGCATCAAGTCGCGGGAGGCTATGGGCACCTTCGCTGAACTTACACCATCAAAGCGAGTGTTCGGACGATACGAAGACAGCGAAAAGATCCTGAAGGCCGCTCATAATTCGATATCCCTTGAACGTTAGTTAAGGAGCCCACAATGAGACAACATTGGAACTTCAACATAGTATAGTCCACTGACTACTTATGTGAGAGCTGAAGCTAAGAAGCTTGAATCTGCAACATGGCATATGATCTTGCGTTCAGAATATATCGATCGAAATGTCGTGCGCTATGCAAATTCAAATGTGATGTATGCCTTGTGCCGGAGGAAGTCGTGTGTTGTTCTCGCCCTTCTTTTAGCTCTCTCCTGTGGGGTTAACAGTGCCCTCGGCTACTTATGTGGTCGTGCTGATGTTCCTGTGGTAGTGCAGGGATCTTAGTATTTTTGTAGACAGGAGAGGTCGCCGTTGAGGGCTTTGTGGGAGAGCAACTGTGTTATGAGTTGGAGAATGATTCTGAGCTGGACTTAGGTTTTATTCGATGCCACCTGTGCCGGCAGCCTTCCCTCCCACCTCTCGGCAACGCCTTGTAGCCAGGCTGGTGCACACAGTAAAGGGCCGGGAGACTAAACCAAGGTATATTGGGCTAGCGTGTAGTACAGCTTTATGTTCATCCAGATGGGCAGAGACGGCTGAGAAGCTCTTTCCGGCTCTGCATCGCCTTGCACCGTGTTTCCCAAAGCACAAGGAGTTTGTAATAAGTGTGGTATGGGATC